ACTCCACACTTTGTTTTCCCTTCAATGTTGTCACTCATTCCCCCGCAGTCATGGCATGGGGCTGTCTCCTGAAAGTCTGTTTCATGTTTGTGCCTTTACAAACATGATACTCATCTCCTGTCAGCTGACACCCCATGGGCTTCAAAGCCCAATACAGTACAATATGTCAAGGCCAAATATAACTCAAGGGCCAGTAACACATACCAATTCAAAATACTTGTACCACTCCAGTTCAGGTTTCTGTAATAATTATTGACATTGTATAACAGACCATCTTTCTGTTCTTCCATTTTAATTAAAGTGCCCCTTTCATCAGCTTTCAGTCGCCTATTCATGGTTCAGATATAGTCAGATATAGGGTGTCAAAATGCTTGTTATGACTATTTAATATTTATGTCTGAAAACATGATGTGAAAAAAGGAAATATCCCCATGGGACTGAATGTGATGTCTATTATAGCACGTTTAACTGTGAGCTCAGTCCAAGTGTCCTAGGACTATAAGGGTCATCTTGATGGTGCCACAGCAAATGGGATTGAACAAAAAATCTGAATGAATTTTATTTATTTAACTGTGTTGATTGACAAGTCAAGTGGGGCAGGATCTGAAACAATGCTCTCTATTTAATCACTCAATACATTACTGCTCTCAACTATGTTAATAAGATCTGGGTCATGACAACCAAAATTATTTTCTTAATAAGGAAGTCCAGACATGTGCCACAGGGAGCAAGTATGTCACTTGGCTGGCCAGGGTATGTACTTCTATTCTCCAAAGGCTGTGAATGATGTGGTATTGGAGGAATAAACATGGATCTGTGTAAGAAAGTAACTGTACAGGATACAAGAGCATTATTTGTACTGAACATTTTTTCCACTGCACATGTTTAATTGCATGCATGAGACACTCAGTATGTCAACTAAAATCCACTTTAGCATTTACAATATCCTTTTTCAAATAACTTGTGTGTAGTCGTTGGAGCATGGGTAACACATCTAATTGTCAGTCCCATCTGCACAGCTGTCATCATTTGTCTACACAAACCACACCAACCAGTGAAGCTTTAGAATACCAACAACAAGGCACCTGTCTCCAGTACAAAAAATTCAAACACATTATCTGAGATATACACTGCTTTTTGGACACTCAAAGATGCTTTGCTTGTTATGACCAATTCAGATTTATTCCTGTGTTAAACAGTTAAACAATAAAAAATCTGGTTAAAAGAAATCTAAAAACAGGTTGCTACAGCATGGCCAGTTAAATGCACACCTATATTCTTGAAAGGGCCAAGTATAGACAAAAAAAAAACATCTACTGAAGCACATTATAAACCAGAAATCTTCTAATACCATCAAGAGTTGTTTTTTTTTTGTTTTTTTCAGATTATAATGCATAGAGAATTACAGATTATAAATATGCTTCTGGTGAGTGTTCCTTTGACATTGTATGAAGGTAGTATTAAAGAAAGAAAAAGATCTACCCCTAACCCTTAAGGCAATTTGGTTTGAGTATTGACACTGGTACCCAGTGTTGTGCATGAACGAGTTCAAAAGAACGCGTTCATTGAACACGTTCATTTTTCAGTGAACTTTGAACTGAACGCAACACTTTTGTAAATCAAGAACTTGAATGTGAATTTGTTCAAATTATGTGTGATGAACGACGTACGTCACTGTTGGGGTTCAGTTAAACGTCGGAATTTGACGAGTGACGATCTGCTCGCGCTTCACCTCGCGAAACCACAGCCGCGTGTCAACGCGAAGGCGACTCCACCGGCAGCTTTAACGGAACATACGGGCTCTTGTGTCTCTCAATGGGAAAGTCAATCAAACTTGACTGGGCGCGTTTAGCTGCTTGTATTTACCTTCTGTACAGGCTGACCACGGCAAACGCAAGGATTTCAAAAGTAAATTTCAAAGCACTAATTAACAGTGTATGTGGATCTGGGCTCTTTCACATGATACACAACTGCCCAGGGAGCACAATGTGCTGATGGTAAATACAACAATAGATACATGCTCTCTGTGTATGTTGACGGGGATACGCGCCTACGCTCGTGTAGAGCGTCAAAAAATAGGATGGATCCTATTTTCTGAAATCTACACGCACAGGACGTGCTGCTCCGCGCGCGTATTATTTTACTTGGTACAAATGTCAGTAACGCGCGTCACAATGCTTTTTTAACCTGGATTGAAATGGTGGGTTTTTCGTTTTTCTTCATACAAATTTGCTAAAATCACCGCGATATCAGCAGCGGTGAAACGCCGGAGGTGCGCCCGCGTAGACCGTGATCCTGAGCGAAAGGACCGACGCAGAACTCCGAGCTCCACCGAGATAAACTGGTTTAGTCTTGGTTTAGTCCTGGTTTAGTCCTGGTTCAGTTCTGGTTTAGACCTGGTTTAGTCCTGGTTCAGTTCTGGTTTAGTCCTGGTTCAGTCCTGGTTCAGTTCTGGTTTAGTCCTGGTTCAGTCCTGGTTCCATCCTGGTTTAGACCTGGTTTAGTCTTGGTTTATTCCTGGTTTAGACCTGGTTCAGTCCTGGTTCAATTCTGGTTCAGTCCTGGTTTAGTCTTGGTTTATTCCTGGTTTAGACCTGGTTCAGTCCTGGTTCAGTTCTGGTTTAGTCGTGGTTTAGTCCTGGTTTAGACCTGGTTTAGTCCTGGTTCAGTTCTGGTATAGACCTGGTTTAGTCCTGGTTTAGACCTGGTTTATTCCTGGTTTGGACCTGGTTCAGTTCTGGTTTAGTCCTGGTTTAGTCCTGGTTCAGTCCTGGTTTAGTCCATATACGGCGCAAAAGTTCAGCATCTTAACAGTTCTTTTGGTGAGAGTAAATTAAAAGTGCTGCAATAGTCGTGTAATGTTTTACATTTTAAATACAGTAATATTGTAATGTAACAAATGACTTTGAAATGACAGTAACAAGTCATAAAAAACACATTACAGTTTTAAAGTCACTTGTCCAACAGTGGATCTTGTAAAGTTGTTGTAAACTAGAAGTCAGTTTGAAAAATAAAAGCAGCCTTTCATTTACAGATCTCATCTAAATATAAAATGAACTGAACTTTGAACTAGTTCAAAATTAAAATTGTGAACTATGAACGTGAACTATTCACTTTGAACAAGTGTGAACTGAACTTTGAACTAGTTCATGAAAAGTGTGAACTTGCACAACACTGCTGGTACCACAGAATTCTGTCAGCTTCTACAAATGGAGAAGCACAAGTCACTGAAATGCTTACTCAGGACCTTACATCCTTTGCTCTGGTAATATCAAGGCCAAAGGTCATGACTTATCGACCCCTCAAACCCATTTCCTTCTCTTGTACACTTTCATTTCAAATTTGACCCATGTTAAAGTTTACAACCAGCACTAATCTTTCTGCTGTCTACACTTCCCAGTATCTACACTGATTACTGTATGTGTATATCATTCTAAAACAGAAATGACAGATGTGAATGAAATGCCCTGACATGTTCACCATGATCACTGTGATAACAACTGACTCATGAGAATAAACGAATCTGCTAACCCACATGGAACTGAACAGATTGCACTTGTGGCTCTCTGAAAGCATGTGTATTGTGTCTGTGTGGCAATAAACTTTTTGGTAGATGAAAATCTCTTCTCTACAAGGCCCTTTTTGTCTGCTCTCAATAATTGGGGTAATAACCTGAGTAGAAGAAACATAAAGACGTGGCAGATAAATAACCCCTTGCCACACATTAGGAAGCACTTGACACCAATCCACACAGCCTGCAGTGGGCCACGCTGGACAGGGAATATACAAACTATAATCTGGCTACAAAATGTATTTCCTCTCTGGGAAAGAGATTGGGATTTTAATGATGAACACTGGACACGCATGCTCACTATTGTGCTCCGTCACCACCTGGACATCACAAATGTGTAAATGTATCCCTTTAACTATTCACTATTTAAACCGAAAAATGTTATCTTAAACTGTGGAGTCATGGACACATAGCAGTTTTGAATGGGGTAAAGGATGACTCACCAAAAAGTAATTCCCGCTGCTCTTCCTATCAGAGTACACCTCTGTGATAGACCCATGACTGATTTAAGACATGCTGATGTGTTTTGGAAGAAACCAGGCTAAAATCTGCATGCTTTGGCTGTGCCGTGCTCTACCAGCTGGACAGCACTAAAATCAAAGTCTTATCCTTTTTGCTTGCACTGTCCATTTAGTTTTGCTTGGGAGAAATCAAAGCATGCGGAAGGTGTCGTACATGGAGACAAATTGGAACCAGTCCCCCAGCTGTGAGATGCCGTGATGCTGCAAAACTACAGAGGAATTCTTCAGACATTAAACAACAGCCCATTCTAATTCAGAACCGCACGGGATTTCATCATTGTAGAATTATCTGATACCAAGCAGCTTAATGCAGCATAATCTACACAACCTGAAAATCCGACCCCAGAGGACACAAAAACAGATTTGGCCTTAGAGATAGAATTATGCACATCGAGATCACACCCGCTCCATAATCCTCTGCCCCAGACTCAATATTGATAAAATGAATGCTCTTTTAGAAAAACATATTAGGACTGAGCTAGGTACTATAAATGTATAGTGTGTGTGTGTGTGTCTGTGTGTGTGTGTGTGTCTGTGTGAGAGTTACAGCATGTAAAGGTTGTGTCAGAAATTGGATCATGTAAGAATGTAGATTCATTATCAAAATATAAGTTTCTACCTTCAATGCATTTCTTAGGGCACTCGTGCATATAAATTGCTGGAATAATAAATTAAGCACTACTCATAGTATACAATATAACCTTATCCGCAAGATATAGATTTGAGTGTCAATATACTCAGGGTTATCCCAATTTATGCTTTAAGCTGTCTGAAGTCAGGAAAATCCAATATTCCAATGTAATTGGGCAGAGTTTCTCTTGTTGCCTTCAGACATAAGTAGCTTGAGCTGTACAGGGTTAAAGCTATATACACCATGTTATTCAGGGTAGAAGGATATACTGCCTTACACACACTCAATCTCATATTTAATTGCTGTTGGAAACTCTCCATCCATCATAGAGCATCACATTGTAGGTGGCCTGAGGTGAACCCACACCTGAAAACAGGGAAAATATGAACTAGTTTTTTGGTTGTGATTCACTATTGCTTTCAGGGTCATATTTAAAACACATTCCTTTGATAATGAATAAATTGGACCAAGGTACATTTTTAGGTTTTTATTTAATGACTGTAATTGGACCAAAATCACATATCAACTTTTATTAAAAATATCAATATCTTGCATAAAGATATAAGATATAACTTATGATTTTGATTTGATAACCTGTGACATTATTAATAGCATGACTCACATGTGAATGGCTTAAAAACATGTTTAAACCTACTTCAGCTGTAGTAAAGTGCACAGTCTACTTTGTAATGTTGTTGAGGTCAGCAAACAGCATGCCTGATGTCATCAACTATTCTCGCCCTGTTTAAACAATCAATAGAGATTCATCAGAGAGCCCAGAGGAAAAGGACGCAGCAAAACAACAGGCAGGACGAGGGAGGGAGCGAGGGAACAGGGCATCAAACAACAACAACAACAAAAGGCCTGTCTCTGTCTGACAACTTGAACTGTGGATGTCCCCAAGCATCAGCTGTAATGACATCAGAGGAGAGGAGAGAGAGAGCACATGCCGGTACAGCTAATGCATTCCCTAAGCATTCAACCGGACACTCCAAAAACACCTCAGCCCATCACAACTGTGGTAAATATCCTACCGTAGCGTGGAGACTGACAGTGGACAAGGACACAGACGAGCAGTCCACAGAGGACAATGGGGATAGCATCTTTAATCACACAGCTCCAGGTCCATACAAACTACCGGCCCAGGCCTCTCTCGTGTCTGTTCACTTCGTCTCTCTTCCAGCTGATACTGCCCCCCTGCGCCCAATGTCCCCACCCACTTTTATAAGCTCCTCCCCTTCTCCCAGTGGAGCTCAGCCGTCCCTCCTCCAGGGGCTGCTGCAAGGTCAAGGTCTGCCTCAGCATTTAGCATACACAATTTTCATGTTCCTGTCTATTACCTATGCCAGAACAGTCTATGCCAAATAATTTTTTCGGGTGGGCACAAATGATTACTGACAATTAATAAAGTCCAAAACTAAGAAAAGCATACTGATAGACCCAAGGTTACAACTTAAAATTCTATTAAAAAGTATAAAAGCAGTATATAAACAACAGAAATGTGCTGAGTTTGCTTCTAAAAAGAACTGTAATAGCAATAATTAAATAAAAACTTAAAAATTGTTTAGTCAGAAAATGTGTTTATGTCTCCACTCACAGGTTTAACAGTCATTGTATACATTTCAGTGCACTGGGGGGGTGGTTCAGAAATAATAAGATTGTCAAAACCTTAGTCGGATAGGCCTAAGCAACTTTGCAACATTAGCTACCATTAGCTCACTACTAGTTTAGACAGACAAAAGGTAACCTGGTGGCTATCCCCCAGGCTGATATGTGAACATTTATGAAAAGTCATAAAAAGTACTATTTCTAAAAGTCTCCAACAGTCCGGGATGTATACATTATTGGTTTTATGTTTATCTTCACACATCATAACTTAATGCAAACATCGTGGTCTACATAAGGATAAAATAGCACAAAAATTAAGCACATACCAAGAGGCTATTCTATAAAAAAAGCATTAATCTTACTGCGCACCAAGCATGTAGCTGCATGAATATCCAACCTGTAAGTCCACCTGGAGGAAGTGGGCCAGGGGTCGTGCCCTCTGCAGAGTGGCACTTAAGCCTGTCACCACAGCAACTGTTGAGGAGCAAGTGATGCCAGCTCTGACGAACAGAGAGAATGCCTCGATGGGTTGGTGCACCCAGGTCTATAGGATTAGTGATAATGGGATTTCCCTTCCTCTGATGGCAGCTCCTGACAGGTGTGTCCCTGTTTAGCTCAGGTTCAGCTCTAGCAGTAAAAGCACGGCTGAGGTTTAGCACTCAGCTTCAGCGGTAAAAATATCCACAAGCCTGTTATATGAGTAACAGGGTTTACAATGCACAAGTACCAAAATAGCTCATTGGGACAGGAGTTCCTTGAAAATGTGCCTTTTAGCACAGTCTTAAATAATAGACAGAGAAGTGAGAATTATTAACTTTCGTCATATCTTAACTGAATCCCCTCAGCAGAGTTCAGGATTATCACATTATCAGCAAAATCTGCATCCATAAAGATGCATTAGCAAAAAAAAAAAAGCCATGAACTGCCTAATAAGATACTGAGTCACTTGCATTAATCACACTAGTGTCTGAATACACGTTAACTTTTGAATTAATCTGAAAAGCTACATAGGTTTATAATTAGGCCTACTGAAACAACACAATCTCTGTAGAATGTCTGAATGCAGAGGCATTGAGTTATGAAAAACAACAAACAATACACATATAATAAGCACTTTTGCTTTTTTCTTAATTTAAAAAAATAATGAAAGTGGAAAGAAAATATGTGCACTAAACAAATCCCGTAAAGCAAGGGTCTCCAACCTGTAGCTCGGGAGCTAGTAGCTATCCATCCCCTTCCAAGTAGCTCACCAAGGGATTTTGTATTGTCCTCAATACCTAAAATTTGATAAATTAAATGCCTATTATTATTGTAAATCTATCATTAATAAATAAATAATGGTTTATGTTTTATGCTTTATTTAACTGTACCCCATCTAAGTATTGCCATGGCTCTTATGTATACTTTATTACTTGTGATCGCTAAAATTAGTAGCTCTCTGGAATTTTAGTTTTGTAAAGGTAAGTCACCTGAGGACAAAGGTTGGAGACCTCTGCCTTAAAAGATAATACAAGATAAACTTCAATAATGGATAAAGTCACAGAGAAGAAAAGCTATATTTTAACATCTAAGAGCCATCATGGCCTTTCAGTCGACAAGTTCACAAAGTGACTGATTTCCTCCATTTCCTCCTGATAGCTCTGTAAGTGCAGTTTAAACATTCCCCATAATTCGCACATCTCGTTCATTACAGAATAGCATTTGGTTCTGGCGGCACTAACCTCAGAGAGGCGTGAGCAGCACAGGAGTGACCAGTGAACGCACAGACAGCCATAAGTATAGCCCGCGTCATGGTGTAATCACAATGCTGATGAGGTTAAGCAGCCTTTCTCCATAAGCCTGGAGAAAGCAGGTCTGCCTGTTACACCTGGGATCAGTAGTGCCACTGCACATCTCTAATGTCCTGTGCAAACCATGTTTCTGTTTACACACATCTGAAAATACTGAACATCTTTTTGTTGTTGTTGTTGTTGTTTTGTATCTATCTATAGTATGTATAACACATCTTTTTTATTGTTACATTGATGTTAACTTTAATAAAATGTTATATAAAATCATAATCTTACTAGGCTGTATCCAATGAATTGAGCTGAATTAAATAGCCTATTGTGAAGCAGGAACCTGTACTCTGCTTGTCTGGAACAGTGACATCTTCTGGAAATTAAATGTATGTCAAGCCACATGCAAGGAGGGATAAAAAAAATACATATGAGGAATTAATAATTCCCAGTTAATGTTTAAATTAAAGTAGAACATCCATCATGTATTGGAGTCATAGGAAAACTGCGTCATTACAGTATAGTCGCACTTCTTTGGAACAACTAATCTTTATAGGCAAAAGAAGGTTAAATTCTGTCTTAGGGTTGTAGGGTTGTTCGATGGACTTAAACTAACAATAGACAGTACTTACTGTAAACAGTTTCAGTGTAGTTTACTCCTACCTTCAGAGTAATATTTAAGCCAGTTCTTTACCAGATCACTCTAAAAACTTGTTCTGCTAATAGCATTCAACATTATTTTGCTATGGCCCTTACCTCGATGCTGGGCAATGTGGCCAAAAAATAAAATCTTTATTTTTTTCTTCACACACTGACAATTACAATTCAATTAGATTCTTTGATTTTAATCAGAGATAGAGCAGGGACTGCTAGTCTTTCAAACGGAAAGCTCCACATCCTATTTTACATAAACTCAAACTTTTTAAAGATTTTTTACAATGCCAATTGTTTAATTGCACAATAATCCCACTTTGCAAGTAAGAAACTCAGGAGTAAACTTGTTCATAATAATAATAGTAAAAAAACATAATAATAATAAAATTAAGTTTCAGTCAAATTAATTTGATTAATCACAATACAATACAAATAATAATAATAATAATGATAAAAAATCCTTTAACAGTTCCTAAACTTTATATGGAACTTGTATTTGCCAAATTTGATAAAATTATCTCATTATGTGGTTCCCAAAATTTGACTATAGCCAAGCAGTGATTTTAAAAACCACTAGAGGGGACTATTATTCCAGACATGACACTTGAAGCTGATGAATAGAAAGCCAGACTTTCATAGATGAATAGAAAGGAACCATAATGCCTTGACATGCAGATTCCCAGTGCTTTAATTTGCAAATGATGCCTGAAAATACCATATTTATAATGGACTATATCTAACTTTATGCAACAATACATGTATATATTGTGATCAATCTCCACCAATTAGAGACTATGTGTCTATGTGAATGCAAAGGAAGAAGAGGGACAGAGGGCAATCTCCGCCAGTCTGCAGGCACCCAGGGGACCTCATTACACCAGCCCGGGCCCCTTCACTCTACCATGTGTTGGCACTACTTCTGACACATCCCACAATGGGAGCTTTCAGCCACCCATCACAGCTGCACAAGACAGGAAATGTAAAACGCTTCTTGTCAAATAGAACTAACTGAATCAAAGCTATACCATGTAGTCAAGCCCTGAAATCTGACATGCTCAGGTAAGAGGTACAAGTACATCTGAATCTTAAAAAAATAATTCTCATTAAAACATTTTTTTTTTTTTAATCCCTGTCTGCATTTCATAGTGCAGGTTCACTAGTAATATCACCCATACCCAAAGTGCTTCTAACAAACTAGACGTTCCAGCAGGTGTTTCTAGTTGTCTGTTCCAGGCAGTTTTTCATACATTCCACTAACATTCTGTACATACCACAGTCAGAGGTTAGACCTTAAGATACACAACATCCATTTGCCACCATTGCCAGGGGGGAGCACCTGGTACCCAATCCAAACATTCTTCACAAAGGGAAAGTAAGAACACACGAACGCACTGAAAAGCATATTACACTATTACTTAAATTGTACAGTTGATAGTTCTGTTCTATTGACTATAGACTCTCATTACTGTAACACAGTGCTATCTCTACAGGAGCCTGACCAGCCTCAGCCTCAGTTTGTGTTTGTGTTGCAGATCAGCATATGCTGTGTCATATGTGTTGTAGTGGCAGACAGCCACTCAGAGCTTCGGGATGTGTGACTGTTCTGTGGGTGATACAGGCGACACAGGCTGGTGCATGTGTACAGTCAGTCTACTTATAATGAGAGACTCACACTGCAGTCTGGAGACCCTCTTCTTTCTTAACACTGCTCAGTGAAAGATATTAGTATAAGCAAACACACACAGAGATCAGGCTTAGTAAGATGCAGACACTAGCTATCATGAATTATTAATATGGTGTAGATGTATTAAAATGGCAGTCATTAGTCAATGACCTATAGAGATAATTTTGTCAAAAAGTTGCATAATTGTTTATGCAAATGCATAATTTGCACTATAGCTGATTGAGCTGAACTTTAGAATTTTTGTATTGTTTTAGTTTAGTATGATGACAATGAATAAATAATCACCTCTACATAAATCATTTTAACATAAGTTGAAATATTCTGTATTTCTTTCTTTCTTTATACCATTCAGTTACAATAACAACAAATGTATTTAAAAGTAGTCGCCTGTACATGTTTGAAGAGAAAGTAGATACTTGACAA